TCTTTCCCTTTCCAAGATGTTATGATTTGGGGAATTCCTTTGTCATTAAGATCTTTCCTTTATCCTTGATGGTTTTGCAGCACTGGTTACCAGGAGAAACGTGATTACTGTGTTTTTTTCCCAGCAGTGAGATTTTCTACTTTTGCGCTATAGCAAAAAAAACCCAACCAATAAGACAAAACAAAACAAAAGCCAAACCAACCCAAAACAACATTCCTCTGAGCCTTCAGGACAGTTCCCCCTTCCCATGAGACACTCACAACCCTGGGCTTTGCTTATACTGGAAAAATGAGCCACATTAGGAAATATGTGCCCCCCACACAGACAGAAGCAAAGACCTTGAGCATCATCCCCTTTCCTGCAAGTCTGGCACCCCAGGCTCGCTACAAACCTAGAGATAGTGCAGCTGAGGGCTGCCCCCCTTCCATCAAGTGATGTTTGGAGACAGGGCTGCAGGGGGGCAAGTCCCTTCCCAAGGGAGCTGTATTTACACGGAGGCTCCAGTGCTTGGCCCTGCCTGAGCTACAGCATGACAGCCATGCCTGTATCACATCGACCGAGACCTGCCGAGCAACTTGCTAGCCAGACCTCAGACCTGTCTCACTGCTATGGACTTGCCTGCTGATCACATCCATTCCTGATTGCCACCACTGGACCTGACTCACAGATCTATGTTTCTGGCTTGACCTCAGAACTATCCCATTGCCGTGGACTTGTCTGGCGATCTGAACTCCCTGTTGACTCCAGCTTCCATCTCCTGGCCTGCCCTGCTCTTGCTCAGTTCCTGTGGGATGGGGCGCTGGTCAGTGAGGTCGCTGCTCCACTGGCCATGTTATGGTACTCGACTCCCTGTCCCTGAAGGAGCAGCTGGCCCCCGGTGTCCCCTGACACCAGAGTACTGCAGCACATACAAGAATACCAGAGCACTTCTGCTGACCCAGACCCATGGTCTGTCTGAATCAGCACCTTGTCTTTTACAGGGACTAGTTCTTCTTTCCAAAACACACGCAGCCATTCAAGACCAAGATCCAGGTGGAAGGGAAAAGGGAAAATGGGCTACCCATCCTTATCAAAGGGGGGTGACTGAGGAGTTATAAATCAGCCAATCTCCATTTGTTATCTGGAAAGATAATGAAACAAGCTGCTTGGCAATCAGTGTGCAAGCAACTAAATAACAATAAAGTGATGAGAAACAGGCAATGAGCATTTGTCCAGAACAAATAATGTCAAAGTAATCTATTTCTTTGCCAAGATAACTGGCTTAGTAGGTGCTGAAAGGAAGAGATGAAACATATCTTGACTTCAGTAGGGCTCTTGACGTTGCCTTGAACACCACTCTCAAAAAGGCAAATAGGTCTCAGATGGTATTAACATGAGATGAGTGTGTGATTTAAAAGTAATTCCCAAACTGTAGCAGTGGATATTTTCCTGTCAGTGGGAAGTTATATCAAATTAAGAGATCTGATCTGTCTGCTAGGATTTATTACTTTAATTAGTGACTTGAATGGTGGAATTGACCTTTGACGTTAAACTTCTGCAAAGAACACCCAGTTGGGCAGTACCACACTTTCAAGGCAAGGATTTGAACAAAGGGTTGACATTGCTAAATAGCAGAAAGAACCTCAAACCAGTGAGGTGAAATTTTATTAAAAAAAAGCGCAGAGTATTATATTTTGAAAAGAAAACTTGAATTCTGAAATGCAAAGCAAGGAAAAAGAGTGCAGTCTTTGGTAAGATACCAAAACATACATCCACCCAGGGCAAGTACTTTTAAAAATCTGTAATTCTGCATTGGAAAATGTGGGCTATATGAAGAGCCACTTCTTTGTCACGAGGACAACACAACTAGGGACAGTGCACTGACACCACACTGACCTGGTTTGAAATACATGTGGTACCAAATGACACAAAACATATTTGCAGCTGCCAGAGCTACCTTGGTTTGCTGAACGCCTGTCTTGTGCCATCCGCAACATTGCTCTGAGCAACCTGGCATGGCCCTGACATGCTTTTGCTTTGCTGTACCTCTTCTTCCTTTTGCCCAAAGCCTCTCCTCTCTGGGAGAAGACGTAATACTGTCCTGGTTTGCTGGGACAGAATTTGAGAGTCAGCATTTTTCTGTGCAGGAAAGCTGCAACTCTGTAAGGACTACAACACTCTTATTTAACTGGAACAAAGTGATAAGATATTTTGTTGTAGTTTTAAGGTAATACTTGTATGTGATGATCAAGATCTTCAGCAGTCTTGAGATGACTGGGTGCAGAGGCTGGGAGAATTGGAAACCCAGGGTAGTTGACTCCAAGCTGACCGCAGGCTGACCAATTAGTATTTTTCTATACCATAAACATCACATTCACTATAAATTGAGGAGTTTGCTGGGGATGGCCCTTCTTCAGTCTTTTCTTCTTCTATGGCTGACATCTCAAGAGGGACTTGTCTACCTGAGGCATACTCCCCCACTGTATCATCAGTATAACTCTGTGTACTTTATGTTAATACT